GCCTGCCACGAAATCTGCACCTGGAGGTTCACAAAGTGCTGCACCTGCCACGAAATCTGCGCATAGAGGTTCGCAAAGTACTGTGCCTGCCACGAAATCACATGGAGGTTCACAAAGTGCTGTGCCTGACATGAAATCTGCACCTGGAGGTTCACAAAGTACTGTGCCTGCCACGAAATCTGCGCCTGGAGGTTCACAGAGTGCTGTGCCTGACATGAAATCTGCACCTGGAGGTTCACAAAGTGCTGTGCCTGCCACGAAATCTGCACCTGGAGGTTCACAAAGTGCTGCACCTGTCACGACATCTGCACATGGAGGTTCACAAAGTGCTGTGCCTGCCACGAAATCTGCACATGGAGGTTCACAAAGTGCTGCGCCTGCCACGAAATCTGCACTTCAAGAGACAAGTGAAAACCTAATCACAATGGACGGCCGACCGACCATGACCCGAGACCGTCTCGCAACAGTCGTTCCGCAGAGCTAGACTTGCCAGGTTCGAAGCCACCGGTTCTATTGAAAAATACAGCATTTCGTGCGTCCGCTATCTCTCGAAAACGCATTTTGTATTGCACCTGCCACGAAATCTGCACATGGAGGTTCACAAATTGCTGCACCTGCCACGAAATCTGATGAGTGGTGTATGATGAGTGGTGGTTGAACAGCTGTTGAATGTCCGTAACACGGAAGTTTTGCAAACTAAACTTCCTTTGACAAACGACAATGCTGGTAGCAGTATCCTTCTTTGCCTCACCAAGCTCGTTTGCCCGTACAGCCCTTCAACACAGGCATTTTGTTTTGCCCCGCCCTTTTGGGCTGTGTGCTTAACATGTCAAGGCCCTCATCACAACAGCGGAACCTCGTGGTAAGCAGGGCCAGCCTGCTCCAGAGGGGTTTGGGACACAGATGGGCAAGAACTGAAAAGATAGAATACGAGTGGATATAGAGGGCCTAATACAACAGGTCCATAAAGATTCAAGATCAGAGACGCTAAGCTGTTCGAATCCAATGAATTTGCTTAATTCCCGTGACTTTGCTAAGGTTTAACTTTTGGCCTCAGTATGGCAATCATGTTATTGATTGCCTGCAGCAGCAAGAACCTGGAGCTTTCGAGAGGTCCATGAACAACTTGCTTTTGTTGCAGGCGATACTGTGAGAGCATTGATTGCTTGAGCAGTGTTGATGGCACGCTTAGATACTGAGAGGCTATTCATGCGCGCCTTCAGGGCTTTCCCACAAGTGGGATGGCTCTAAACACATTCACGCTGCTGGATCCTGAGGCTTATAACTCACAAACTAGTCACCCTGCGGAATGTTGAGGTTGCTGCACTTGTGCAAGCCTATCAAAGCTGAAGCGGCATCCAGTGTGTCGGTGCCCAGCCCAGTTCTTCAAGTCCAAGAACTCCACTGGCGACTTGCCATTCGCTAGTCGAAGACTTCCACACTTTCCAACAGGTTTATGACCAAATCCAACACAATCGAAGCAACAGCAAGATACAGCAAGCATCCCTCCATCCCTCCATCCCTCCATCCATCCATCCAGCCATCCATCCAAACGTCCAAACATCTATCTATCTATCTATCTATCTATATTTAATGAATTCGCTCGACGAACGTCCCCAGGTCTTCTTCCCTGTGCGTGAGGATGCCCAGCAGCTCTTGGGGAACTATCACAAGGAGGACGGGAGCCATTTCTTGCACCTGGATATCTTCTCGAACATCTTCTAATAATTCCAAGAGAAAGACATGGACAAGAAACGAGGCCCAAAGGGGTCTTGAAAAACAGACGTTCTTTTCAGCGTAAAGAAGGGTTCTTCGTTCTTACTGTGTTTGTCTTGTTGGGGAAAGCATGCTAGCAAGCAGCCTTATGTCTCGAAAGCCCGACAACTGTCACGAACAAGGACTTTTTTTCCAACAATGGACCTCCAACCTCTGATTCCATGAGAGCCACCTCTGATAGCACCATCAAACCTTGTGGCAGGCTCGATTTGGCGAAAAGGAGCAAATCGAGGCTGCAACTGAGAGTGCCAAGAGCGTCAGAAGCCGAGCCATCAAGCGATCGTGTTTTTTCTAGGGACATTCTTTTTTGCTGGCAAGCTTTGCCGATTGTCCTAGCAGATCCCAGTAGACACATTGTACATTCCAGCTTTGTGCTTGAGGGGAAAGGAATCTTGTTCAGGACCCTGGCTACACTGCACCACCAAGCGACAAAACCCTCTTTAAGTCCCAGGCACATTTCATGCTTAAGCCAGCAAGTGGACGTCTTTACTCGTCTTGACAACACTACATACTGATATTGGTGCTCACTTGGCTCATGTTTTGCCGCCAGATTTTTTGGCTTGCCATAAAGGGTGTTGGCTATTTGCAGCAAGCCAAGTGAATTGAGTGAAGGTAGGAGGTGCAGCAAGTAGGTGGACCCAATTTCCACCCTGAGGCTCATGCCAGTAGCGAAGGAATCTTTCCATTCTTGGCAAAATCTCGCTTCTGCTTTTTATGATAAGGACAGGCAGACCCAGATTGCGCGAAGAATCAGCAGTGTTTGCCAAACAACACCGAAGTTGCATTGCAGATGTCACTGATTTTGGAAAGGACAGGGAGATTTCGGATGGGGCCACACGTGAGTTCCTCATTGCAGAGGCTGCATTAAAGGAGTGCGTTTTCTTGCGTAGTAGCATTGGATGCACTAGGTAGCCTTGTAGCATTTTGTAGCCTTGGTTGATAGGAGCCGCGCTTCCTTGAGCGTTTGGGGCATCTCGTCGACTTGAGCTTCAGATTCCTACAGCACGCAGCTGCAGGAGGCAAACAGGCAGGCACTGAACTTCAAGTCCACTTTGAAGGAATTTCCCGGTTTCTTGAGTTTTTAAGTATCATTTTGGCCTTTGTCCTTTCGGGGTTGTCCTTTGCATTCCTGTAGTCATACCTTGCAGGCCTTGCCGCCTCCTGCTCCTGGTCCAACTTGGCATGTGCTTCCCAGTTCCGCGCACTTCTCAGCCTGGATGCGGCCAACTCATGTGCACCACAATTCGAGATTGATCCAGTGTGTTAAGGTGTTATTGATGGGGTTCCCTCAAGAGAAGCGGTGTGATCCCACATTTGCACACATGTTGAGTTCGTGCTCAGGTTCTGGAAAATGTCCTGGAACTCTGTGATATTTATCGTGATCGAGACAGGAAGAAGAGTGCGCCGGCTGAGATGTCTTGCAACCTGCAAAATTCTTCTCTTGTGCTCTGCTGTCAGCTGGTGGCATCCCAACTGGACTCTTCACTTACGTGGATCCAGACCCAGTGCTCACCACACTGTGCATAGTCAGAACCTGAACTTTGCATCACCAGTACTCCCAACCCTCTTCAAGCAAAGCACTGCAGAACGAGTTTTCAGGTTATGGCCTCCGAAGATCACGTCCGAGATCCGTCGTTGCGGGGGAGGGCAGCCTGGGACCTGGCCCTTGAAATGCTCTTTCCCAACGCTGTCCAAGGTGTTGACGAGTGTCAGCCTTCCCTTGAAATCCCTTCAACAAAGTGGAGTCAGCAATGTTGCACTTGCATCACTTTGAAGAACCTCATGTCAGCAAGGTCAAGCTCTTGCATCGGCTGTGCTTTGGCTTCCGCTCTTGGCGGGACTGGTTGAAGTGCCAAGCCTCAATTTATTTTTGTCCTTCTTTGATTGGCTCGGCCAGGACAAGCTGAACCACCCTCCTCTTGACAAGCACCTGATTCCATGTTTGGTAAATGTTCTGCGCTCAAGTGACCACAATATTATTCTAAGTAGGTTATTGTTGCCACGGCTGATGAAGTGTTTCATCAACATTTGGACAACAAGGTGTTTATTGCGGTCGAGAAAGCAATCATGAGCTACTACGATCTCTCTTACCGGTACAAGTACGAGGCAAAACATCTGAGATATCGAAAGAGTCCTTGCTTTTGCAGCGAATTCATGTGAAGGAACGCAAGAACAATTCTTGGAGTCTTTTTTTGAGTGAATTTGAATTGGAGTCCTTTGCTTTGCCAGTTGCGCGTTCCTGTGATGGACCTCTTCGACTTGACTCTTCAAACCGAGGGCCACAGACAGGCCACTCTTCGACTCTTTTGCTTTTTTGCGCTGTTTTCTTGGTGGGAGGGTGGGCCGTAGTAAGCTTAAGTAGCTAGTAGTAAGGGGTAGCCACTAAGCTCAAGTAGGCTAGTTCAAGAAGGCTCCCCGAGCCATCCTAAAGGGAGGGGTTGCTTGAAGAAGCCTGCGCCTTAATGATTTTGTTCCTATATTTTTCAAATTAACATCTATTTCTCATTGAGGTGCTTGACCAGTTCATCAGAGGAGAAGGAAATGACAAGTTCCTCAAGGCTGGCAGTTGGATAGAGTGGCTGCAGTTAGCACGAAAAGGAGCTGACCATGCTGCGTGGTCAGCCAGACACACCGTCAACTCCTGTGTGGCCAGTTGCTGACGCAGCTGATCAATGACAGCAACTCTCAGATAGAGGAGGCTATCCGAACGGTGAAGGACCAGCACGGAGTGTGATCGGGCAGCGACCCAGGGCACCCGACCAGAGCCACGGAGCCATTTTTCCTTGTGGAGAGCAGAGCACAGGAGTTTCATGATAAGCAAAGCCAAAGTGCAAGCTCTTCTGGTCCTGCTTGGCGCTTATATAGTTACTTGTTGCTTAGCTGTGTGCCAGCTATGCTTGCTTTTGGCAGCATTTTCCATCTGCTTTTGTTTGGCCTTGCTGGCTCCCAGTCCGCTCAACGCCACGATGAGCAGGCCTTGCGTCGAGGAAGTGCTCTTGTCTTTCCTGAGTTAAGCAAACATGTTGAAGTAATCAACTGCCAAGCAATGCCTTTAACTCCAAAGACACTCCAGGGTATCTGTGCAGGTTTTGGACGACGACCGAACAGGTGATGGCGACGAAGCAGAAGACATCTATCGCCGGAGCCGCATGAACTACAAGGACCACATATAATAGATGATATACATCCAAGGTCTAAAGAGGAAGGAACAGGAAAAAGAAGGGAAGGGAAGAGAAAGGCAAGGCAAGGCAAGGAAAAGAAGGAACGGAACGGAACGGAAAGGAAAGGAAAGGACAAGACACAAAAAAAAGCAGAAAGGAAGACACATGAAACAACGAAAAAACAAATAAAGAAAGAAAGGCAGAACGAAAGAAAGACACAAAGCAACGGGAAGGTCTAAATTTCTAAAGAAAAAGAAAGGGACACCAAAGTTGAAATCAAGACCATATACGGTTTAATACAGCGAGCAGTGAAAGCAGGTGAACACAGGAAAGCCGCTTTTGTTCAACGACAAGCAAAGTAGCACTTCTGATGTCCAGGAACATGCAAAGAAGTACTTTGGTCTGGCTGCAAGGCAGGTGTTGCACAGCTCAAGACGGTCACAATTGATGCACTTGGGATGCCGAAGGACGTGGAAGCAAATGTGGCTACTTTGTAAGCTTTGTGCTCCTGTCATTGTTGAAGGCTTTGAACTGAGAGGCCCCGAAAAAAGTTGCTTCCAGCATGTCAGCTTTGCTAGCATCCTTTACATGTTAGAAACAAGGACGCTACTAGTAACAAAGGGCATCACTACTAGGAGCAACCCCAAAGCTGAGGCCGTGGAACGCTCGAGCAGCTCCTGCATTCATCCTTTGACGCGCATTTCAGATGCAATAATTGCGAAAACAAAGCACTCATAAGTACATACCGACTGCAGGCCTTTACAGCACAAAAGTCCGCACTATCCGCATGGTAGCGGAGCCGTGACGTCGATTCCACAGAGTCTCGACAGAGCTCCAGGGCGGATCCGCAGCCCCTTAGGTCCTTTCGATCGACCCTGCCTAGCGACCATAGAACTGGTGTAGCAAGACTCTCGCAATCTGAGCTTGTGTCGATTTGACGGCCTAGAGTGATCTTCATCATCGGTTTGGCCCTTGCCCCCATCCTTGAGTTTAAAGAGCTGTTTGAGGAATTGGCAGAGCTCCTACTTCATAAAGCACGAGAGGGTTCTTGCCACAGAGAAGGGTGTGAAGGAAGATGGATGGATCTGGAGGTGAGATCCCAATGGGTGGAGCTGGTATGTCTGAGCTCACCCAGGCATTGATAGGTGCTGCTCAAGCGGCCACTCTGGCCGCAAACCAAGCTGCCCAGGCCACCTCAAGTCATGGACCTGCAGGTGGAAGTGATGTTGGTGGGTTGAAGAGAGATCTAGCAAAGCTCATCCCACGACCACAAGTGTTCAATCCGGCAGATCGTGAGCAGGAGGTTTTACAGTGGAGAGATTGGTTTTGGAGCTTAAAACAATATTTGGTCGTTGTTGATGGAGCGTACCAGGAGGAGTTGGAGAAGATGGAGGCTGATCCCACTTCTGAGTACGATTGGGATTTGATGGCAGATGAGGATCAACAACGAAGCCGCTTCTTGTACTCCCTGTTGGGAGGCTTGGTGCAAGGCCGATTGATTGGAGTCCTGAAGACCGTGGACAAGTTCAACGGATATGAGGCCTTGAGACAGCTCCTTGGAAATTGTCAACCCCAGGCACGAAATCGTACAATGAATTTGCTTCAGGGGATTATGGCATATCCACCATTCAACATGCGAAGTTCTCTCCTGCCACAGATCTTGAAGTTGGAAGAACACTTCACTCAGTATGAGCGCCTTGGCGATTTTGTTGAGGTCAGTGGGAGGTCAGATGAAAACCCACTTGAACATCACGTTGAACGAAGGCAGCAGTTACAGCAAGATCAGGGAGTCCATCCTAGCCTTCGACACAGCCACGACCAAATGGAACGAGTCAGCCGCCTTATCCTTTTCAGGTATGAGCCCAATCCCTTCGAGTGCTGATGGTCCGGCGCCGATGGAAGTCGATCGAGTGCAGAAAGGAAAAGGTGGTAAGGACCAGAAAGGAAAAGGGAAAGACCCCAAGTCGAAGGGCAAAGGAAAGGATGAAAAGGGCAAGTGCAAGACCAAAGGTGGGAAGTTTGGTGGAGGAGCAAAAGAAGGTAAAGGCAAGGGAGCAAAGGACAACAAGGGAGGCAAAGGAAAGGGCAATGGAGAGCTATGCTGGACGTGCGGGAAGCCTGGACATCAGGCAAAGGACTGCTGGCGGGTAAGGCAGGTTGAAGCACCACCGACCCAAAGTGTGACAGGATCGAGCCAGCACACGACATCTCCATTTACTACGATGAGCACAGGTGGTGGAGGAGACCCAAGCACGACAGCAAAGTCAGTACGACGAGTTTCACAACCAGCTGTTTTTGATTTGCGAGAAGCTTCAGCAGGTGGTTCAATTCGAGTGGTGCATGAGGCAACAGTGGAGTATTATAACATCTTCACTGACGATGAGGACGAGAGTGAGGATGCCGGCTATGTGGTGAACACGGTGCTTGAGAGAAGGGATGGAAGCACGAAAGATGAAGAGGCAATGGAGGAGGGTCTCAAAGGTCCTTCCATGGCGGTGATCGTGGATTCAGGAGCAGATGCATCTCTTTTCCCAGGCTGCGTGAGAGAGCTTGGTGAGGAGTCAGTAGGTTGCACGCCCTGCTTGCAGGATGCCCAAGGAACCAAAATCAAGACCTATGGGAGTCGAGATGTGGACATCATACTCTGGTCTACAGAAGGTCGCCAAGTGATTTTGAGGGAAAGAGTCACCTTCAGTGATTGTGTGAGCCAACCTATTCTCTCATTTGGAAGGCTCATGAAGAGTGGATGGTCCTTGGATGCAAACTCAATGTGCTTGACGCATGGAGAGCTGGAAGTGCCGTTGACGTTTCAGAATCAAAAGGATCAGGAAGAGTCAATCGAAGAGTTGAAGGGAGAAGAGATGAGCAAGATCCTCACATTCATCGCCCAAGAAGGTACAACTCCAGAAGCCTTTGGATTTGAGTTGAAGGAAGGGTTCAAGTGGTACAAGCCAAGGGCAGAGGAGATCGAGGACTATGCCATCCCAGAAGCCAATGAAACAGAGGAGGTTGAAGATGTGGAAATTCCTGGAGGAGAAAGAGAGGAAGGAGTGAGTCTCGATGACCAGCTCGTTCGATTTGAGATTGGACCTGCACTGCCAAGCCGCATCACAGTCAATGGCGTGGTTCTTACGTTGGAAAGCCCACTGAGGAGTTTGAGGGCAGCCTGTTCCTACTACAAGATAGGCCAGAGTGGAGGAAAGAAGAAGTGCTTCAGCAGACTGTTGGAGCATCAAAACAAGATCGAGTTGCTGCTTGCAAAGGATTTGGCAGCCCAAGCAGAAGCGTTTGAAAAACGCATTCCTCTGGAGCAGCATGTAGCAAAGGAGCCGACGGAGGAGGAGAAGAGGCAGCATCAACTGACTCACATTCCTTATGCCCCATGGTGTGCTTCTTGCCTGAAGCATCGAGCGCGGCGAGACCAGCGCAGGAGAACGGGCAGAGCTCGCGAACAAGGATGTCCCACCATCTCGTTCGATCTATGCCATGTGAGAGCCTCAGGATCTGGAGCATTGGGAGTTGAGGAGGATGAAGACAAGGCTCAGACAGGAGTAGCAGACGAAGGTGGAGCACTACTTCTGGTGGCCGTATGCTCGCAGACAGGATATTTGTTGGCTTTGCCATTGAAGTCAAAGGGGCAATTGGCATTGATCACTCACGAGCTGCTAGCCTTCACTCAGATTTTGGGGCATGAGGAGGTTCAATACTATTCAGACAATGAGCCAACGTTACGACAGGCACTCAAGCTCCTGGTTCAATCGAGGTCAGGTTGAAGACGACTATGAGAACCACGCGGATCTATGATGCAGCAGGAAACAGCTTGGTGGAAAATGCAATCCAACGGATCAGGAATGTTGCAGCAACCCTCATGGAGAGCCTGACTGAATCAACAGGGCTACGTTTCAGCAGTCAACATCCTTTCTGGACCTGGGCATGCAGGCATGGAGCGTGGCTGTTGAATCGATTCCAGCCTTTCCAGGGTTTGACAAGTTATGAACTATGCCAGGGCAGAACCTATGAGGGAAAGCTGTGTGAGTATGGAGAGATTTGCTTCGCGTACTCAAAGCCCAGATGGAAAGTGGGGATTTGTTTGGGGAAGACAGAGATCCAAGATGCTTGGGTGATAGGCGATGGCAACAGAGTTTTCCTGAGCAGGTCATTGAGGAGAATCTCCAACTCCAACAAGAAGTATCTGGCATGCTACCAGAATCTCACAGCCTACTCATGGGACTTCCAGCAGAACTTTGGAGGGCGCATCGTACCTTCGAAGAGGCTAGCGGCTATGGTGACAGGACCGATGGGAGTACCTATGCCAGTGAGCAAGGCCATCGCAAGTCATGACGAAGACGCCTTAGAGGGAAGCTTGAGGAGGCGCAAGACTTGGTGGCTGAGGAGGAGAGGCCAGCTGGCGCCCCAAGAGATGATGAGGAAAAGAGACTAGCAGAAGAGAAGAAAAAGGACTACGTAGAAAATGAAGTTCAGGAGCTGATTCCAGTGATCAACCCAAGTCAGATTGATGAAAGTCGAAATCAGGCTGGACCTTCGACAGTGAGGCCGAGCACACCAAGACCAGTAGCTCAGAAAGGTTCCTTGAGAGGAAGTGAAGAGGAACCCGAAGGAAAGAGATTCAAGGTGACCTTTGAGAAGAACGTCCATGGCTTGGAACAAGATGCACCCGAAGCCAAGAGGTTGAAGCCGGAAGAGAGGGTGCAAGAGGAGAGAAGAGTTGAAGCCACAGAAGTTGAAGGAAGGCTTTACTATCACATGGACAAGGTCATCGAAGAAGACTTTCTGGAATGGGAAGATGAATGGGCTTTAGAGGAGGAGGAGTCCTTTCAAGACATTCCTGATGAGCTCTGGTCTGACGCTCCACTGGATAGGGTCCCACCTGATCCACCCAAGTGGGTCGATGATCTTGCGAATGAAGTGGAGGAAAGAAGACTCCAGAAGCTCGGAGTTTTGGTGCCAATGGATGGGTTGAAGAAGGGCTACAAAAGGTTGGAGAGCAAAACCCAGATCCAAGTTGCCAGGAGCACCCAAGCAGTTCTTGAGGAGGTCGAGGATGGTGGCGCGAGAATATGCTACCGACCGAAGAGATGATGTTCACAGCCCAGCCAGTGGAAGCCAAGCATTGAGGCTGATACCAACCCTGTATGCATTTCTTCAAGTCCCACAAAATGAACCTACTCAAGTGACAACGGCCACAGGGCACTTCGAAGTGCGTCGAAACCTCCCAGGACAGAGGATTGGAGCGAAAGCTTGGTTTGATTACTTCACCGGCTGGCTATGTGAGAAGGGATTTGAGTTCTCAAAGACCAACCCATGTTTGGGAAAGTTGGCCAACAAGATGACAGTGTTGATCCACGTGGATGATGTACTGTATCTTGGGGAGAAGGAATACGTCATGAACGACTTCCTGCCCAGCATCCGAGCCAGGTTTGAGATCTCAGAACAACACCTCACAGGTCCTGAAAGCTCTTTCCAGTTTTTGAGGAGAACGTATGAAGAGACTGAGACAGGATTGAAAGTTCACCCTGGCAAGTATGCAGAGAGCACGGTGGAGATGTACGAGGAGAAGATGGGACGTGCAAAGATCCAATCTCTGCCGTGCAGCCAGGAGATGCTCGAAGCGGATGGCACTACCCAGCTGAGGCCAGATCTCTCAAGTCTCTATAGATCTTTGGTTGGATGTGGGATATACCTTTCCCAGGAGCGGCCAGATGTATCTTATGTGATCAAAGAGCTCGCCGGGTCAATGTCATGTCCAACAACGGGGAGCCTGAAGAAGCTGGGAAAGTTGGTTGGATATTTGAAGAACACTATGGGACAGTATTCAATGCTGGAGATTGGAGAACCAGGAGCAGGACTATCAACGAAGACAACAGAGGGAAGGTGGCTCCTGGAAACATTCTCAGACAGCGATTGGTCAGGTTCCAAAAGTCACAGGCGTTCCACGTCAGCAGCCATCCATGTGGCCAATGGAGTGAAGAGGACAAAAGAGTGTGACGGCCGAGCTTAACGCGTTGGTCTCAGCAGCCGCAGATGGTATCTACCTGAGGAAGTGCTTGGAGTTCATTGCAGAGGAGAAGGTGACCCATCATTGCCTGGTTGACAACTCAGCAGCACTCCATCTATGCCATAGAAAGGGCCCCGGGAGACTTCGACATATCTCGGGAAAGCTGTTGTGGATCCAGGATCTAGTGGCGCAAGAGGAACTACAAGTACGAGCGGTTGGAACAGTCTACAATATTGCAGATCTCGGCACAAAACCACTCACCAAGAACCGCATCAGCTTGATCCTCCATTGGTGCAATGCTCGAAGGAGCGATGGAGAAAGGCTTGGCCAGGAGGAGCACAACAATCTGCAGGAGATGAGGGTGAGTCAAGTCAAGATTAGCAAGTTGGCGAAATTGCTCAATCGTATTCTCCTACTTGAGGGCCTTGAGCAGGTGGCCGGAATGAGGGATGAGAACATGGAGATCGAGCCCACAAGGAACTACGAATGGTGGTGGTGGTTCTTCATCATTGTGATTGTGGCGGTGATGGTCATTGGTGTGGTGGTCACAGTGGCTATGATGTGGAAGCGCATCAGGATGCTAGAGAGTGTGATCCAACAGATGAAGGATGACAGCCATGTGGACGTCATGACTCAGGGAGCAATGACGTATGAAGTTGAAGAGAAAGTGAAAGTGGTTAGCAAGGAAGTGAAGGAGTTGAAGGTCTATGCACAGCAAATCCGCAGGGGCTTGGTAAAGGCTTCAGGATATGTTGATGCAACAGAGTTCCACGAAGATGATTGGAGACAGTGGAACTACCTACAACACAGCAACCGAGAATTTGATCTTCGCAGGATGGATGCCCAAGTCAAGGAGTACCTGAAGGCAAAGCAGGAACGAGATGAAGAGTTGGATGAACAGCAGATCCCGTTGGGCAGCCCCAGTCCACAACGGGAAGAGACAGAGAATGATGATGACGACATCATTGAAGGCGAGGAGACAGTCCAGGTACGACTGGATTCAGGAGAAGTGGTTGAGATACCACTGAGGTTCGTTGAGCCTCGTGAACCAGAGAGCGAAGGGGATGTGGAGATGAGAGATGCACCAGAAACACCACAAGAGACAGCGCCCGAAGCAGTACTGAGCGAAACCGCACAGATGCCTGATAGTCGTGAGGACCCAACCATTAGCCAAGCTACAAAAGGTTGGATTTCAGGCTTAGAGCTTCGTAGGTTGGCAGTTTTCGATAAGCCGGCATCACGTTCATGCCTCAGAGCCAAACAGCATCTGATGAGATGCGAACAGGAGTGGTGGCGCGCAAACCAAGACAACGATCATGAAGGAAAGTATGAAGTCTATAGTGAGATGGACAAGCATTATGAATTCTTGGACTGCGACAGCCTACCCTTCTAGAAATGTTGTCTCATGAGCACGAAGACCTAAGCTCAAGAGACAAAGGAGGAGTGCGAAAACTACATACCGACTGCAGGCCCTTTACAGCACAAAAGTCCGCACTATCCGCAATCATTCGTTGTTTTCCTGCCTTGTTCATCCTCTATCCTCACTTTTGTTTGTTGATTCATTCTACAATAGCGTCATAATTCATGATGTGCTCCTACTTCTTTGTTCAAAAGAATCCTCAGGGATTTTCATTGTGTTCGTTGTGAGAGTCTTGATTTATTTTCTGATGAATATGGAGAAATTATAGGAGAAATTGTTATTGAACTTGTTGCAAAGCAAGTTGAAAGTTCAGAATGATGCGTTGAAACATACAAAGTACTGTAGATCTCAAGACATAGAAAACCGTTGCCGCACTTAGGCAATTGCATTATCTTGTAGGCCGCGCTTTTCATCGAAACGTAATACTCCTTATGTTTCTTTCGCTTGCTACAGCTTGGCCGTGTCGCATCCAAGAACGTCTATCTTCAGATAGTGGAGATGAAACGGTAACAAAGATATGTCTTGAGTGTCTTGTTTATATACACCTTTCATACAATGGCCACGTTCTCGTCTGACAAGTGCTTCAAACGCAGGCCCTGAGATGAAATCAATCAAGGCTTCTCCTCAAGAGTACGATGAGCTTGGCTTCAATCCAAAGGATGCCCAGCCAACAACTGTCTTCACTCCTTGCTTGTGCAGTCTGCTTTTGCTGTTTTGCACCGCTTGACTTCTGCTTGCAGCAGGAGCTTATCAAGCAGATAGTTGAGAGCTACCTTTTCCTTGCAAAAGCCAACAAAGCAGAGGCCGTTGTCCTTTTGTGCCCTTTCGACATCAACCCTGGGTGCTTTGCCAGTGCCTGTTTGAGGTCGTTCGAGTGGTTGGGAAGGATGAGAGATACTACAGCTGCTTGTCTGACTTGGCTGATGCCACTTGTACTTCTGTGCTTGCGTCCAATGTAAGCCACTAGATTCTTCTCGAGGTAGCAAGACGTTCAGCAAAGCTTGCAGCTTTGTCAGGACTTGCAGCTTTTGCAGCTTCGACAGTGTGACAAAACCCATAAACCCTATTCTATTCGTTGCAGGAAGTATGGTCTTCTACAAGGTAGTGATCTTGAGGATTTCGAGTCATTCTGCAAGGACCGAACAAACAAGTTGCGTGCGACAGGCAGTTGCAAATCATTACTGTAGGCCACTCACAATCTGGGAATCGTTTCGTCATTGAGGGGTCTTCTGAGTCCAGCTACTGGTAGCTTCTTGTTTTGCTCAACTGATAGGAGCTTGCTGACACAGTTTCCGCGCACCGGGCAGCATTTGACGAGGCTTCTTCCGCACTGAAAACCCGCATTTGCCATCCTGCATGTGCTTTGGTGGATCCATATCCTTGAGCTCTAGTCTTTGATCTAGTTGCTCTAGCGGTTGTTAGACCATGTCTTCTTGAGTTCAGTGTTGAAGAACGCAAGGAAGAGCAAGGCACATTTTCGGGAAGACGAGAAGAGTTGAAGGCAACACCATCCAAGCAACAGGAAGAAAGTGCAATGTCCACGTTTGAGGTCGCACAAATGCCTGAAACCTTTCTCAACTACAGATATACGGTGGAGTCTGTAACCAACTTCTCCTCTAGCCCGGAGCAATGAAGTCAAGCTTAGATGTATGGATTGATTGACGACCTGTGTCCTGTGCCATCTGGATTTGCGGTGACTCATGCGTGCCGCAAAAACAAGACTACATGTTGTTCATAGTTAGGTATTTTGGATGTCGCCTACTCATTGTGCTTGCTTTGGAACACACGTCCACTGAAGGATTTGCATCACCTGCACGCCATGAAACAAGTGTCTACATCGAATTGAGACGTTGATCCCGAAAAGCCTTTGACAGGCTGATATTCCTACAAATTATTTGTGCGAGCTGATGGCGGACATCATGAGTGATCCAGTGATGTTTCCGCAGAGCCGCAAGGCAACTGGGAATTGCAGCATTTCAAAGGGCAAAGCACTAGGTTGGAGGCCATCACTATGCCATTGCTATTAGGTTCCTTTTGCTAGCAAACGCATGTCCACTTCACGCATGTTGGCTCAAACAGACAGGTTGCAGATCGTACCATTGCTCTTCGAGTCATCATGAGCCGGTTTCTCGGAAAACGTGGGATGCACGACATGTGGTGATAATTACTAGGGGATGCGCTGCAAGGCAGCGATAGAGATCCTTTCGCCAACACGCCAGTCAAGGTGGAGGCCTTTCTGATTGTTTCTAGAGTGTATGTTGAACATGGTGGTGAATATTGGCTGTCCAGGAGTTGATACCGATGACAGAACTCAAGGAAGAGATACACAGATTTGCAAAGGAGAAGGCGAGGTTGTGGTCACGGCACTTTTAAGACACTGCGCAAGGCTTTGCGTGCTTTTGTTTTAACGAGCAGGAGGGTTAGAAGAGAAGGCACTCTTCAACTTGCGGTATGTGCTCAGGGCATTGCCTTGGAGGGCGGCAACATGTTCGACTGACGAAGATGCACGGTCCCAATGGGTCAAAGTGATGACCAATGGCTTCAAGGTTGCCAAGCTCGTGAGAAGGACCCCAAAAGCAGCCTTCAAGAACAGTGTCCCCAGTCCGTTTGCAGATGAACAGAGCAAACGAGCAGGCAGACTTTCCAAAGATGCAGACGAGTTAGTCTGCACTGCTTGCTGTGAAGACCTGCAAAGTTCTGCTAGTGCAAAAGGTGCACCAGGCCTTGGCAAGAGCTTGAACAGGTAGAGGTGACTGAGCCACTCCAGACCTTCCATGGGAATGTAAACGAGGGTTCTTCAAAAAAGTTTCATTCCGTAAATCTGCTCACAATGGATTCAACCATTTCCATTTCTGTGCAGGGGTATTACGGTTGTCCCACTGGATGAGAGAATGGCGATCAAGGCCCAGTGGTGACTTGCCACTTGTAAAGCTATTTTAAATAAGTTGCCTACAGTTCAAGGTTGGACCTTTGAATGAGAGCCGCTTGACGGCTGTCAAGAACTCAGCTGAACCGTTTGAGCATTTGCACAAACGACTTATGCTTGAGGCAGTCGAGATGTCACTGGGTCGAGATCGAGGCGCAAGACATTGAGTGCGCTAGACGACTTCTGTTCGGTAGTAGTTGAACAGTTGAATCTAGCCAAGGGGGCTGAATGTTTGCAATGGCCAGAGGGGCCAAAGAACTCTTTGTGCCTCGTTGACGGTAAGATTGTGAGGAGTTGGAAATGCCTCTGGTGCTCCGTGGAGATCTCAACCGATGAAAGACTTGCGACGTTTTCAACGATGCAAAGTCATCATTTCTAAGGTCGCAAAAAGCGACAAGCTCAACCGTGGAGGCATGCAATTGTTTTTATATAGGTATATCATTTCAGTGAATCCAGCGAATCTTTTTTTTCAGGTTGGTCAGGTAGATGTCAGGCACTCGGCTTTTGGTCTAACAACTCCAGCATGTGAGGCGAATAGGGTTTCTTACCTAGGCTGTGGCAAAGTCTGCAGACATTGAGACCCAGGCGATTGATCTGTGTTTGAACCGTTTTTGAACTTGGAAGCTCTATTGAATGGAGGGCAGTACACCTTTCGAGGGTGGGTTTGGGGAATGGAGCAAAACCATGCAAAGCCACACCAAGACACCTCATCGGACCTGATCACCTTTTAGTGAGACAGACTGATGAATTCGATTGTTTGTCCGCAGGCTGGAAGTGAAAGATTTGCTGAAGGTGCAAAGATGGGAGAACTCGCCTGTCGCTCCGTGTTTGACAATTCACAACCTTGTTCAGACTGCTTCAGTTCTAATTCAATTCTAATTAAACTGAATTCTAATTCTAATTCTTGTTTGAATTGCTTCTTGTTCCTAGTAGTAAGGCCAGGAGCCCCTAGTGGCGTCCTTGCTCCTAGTAGCGATGCCAGGAGCCCCTAGTAGCGTCCTCTACCGGTTTGCCTAAAGAACTTTGATCTCAGTCGTTCAGCACACGAAGTCCGACGACTTATCCCAAGTCAGGCGCAACGAAACGCCGGGCCACACTCACACATAATACTGTAGGGACTCGCATGTCCCCATGCTCCATGAAAGGCAGTCTGTTTCACTTTCTCAGACAATCGACTTGTTAAGGGCACCTGGGTGACTTTGTCTCGTGGCTCACCTTTTTTGAGCTTCTCGCGGTGACAGTCCTCACCTTGAAGGTCTTTGATCTTGCAATGCACATCGTCCAGAAAGCACAGACTGTCGTTCCAAAGACGATGCCGTTGCATGACTTCCTCGTCTGAAAAAACATGAGTTCTCTCAGCCTTGATGCTTGCTGCACTTTCTCCAGCAGGAGGTCGTGAAGCCTCTAGCCTCCATGATCCTTTGTGCTTGTCATTGTACGGTTGTTTAACATTTACTTTTATTTTTTTACAAGCTTGTTTTTTAGTATCGAACTGATTCCCACAGTGAGAAAAGAACGCGGACCTTTTTGACGTGGATAAAGTCGAGTTCCGCAACTGCGCAGGATTCCACAACTAGGATTCCGCAACTATTTTGTCGGATTCCGCAACTGGGATTCCGCAACTAGGATTCCGAAACTAGGATTCCGCAACTGGGATTCCGCAACTAGGGTTCCGCAACTAGAATTCCCAACTAGAATTCCGAAACTAGGATTCCGCAACTGTCAGGATTCCACAACTAGGATTCCGCAACTGTCAGGATTCCACAACAAGGATTCCGCAACTAAGATTCTGCAACTGGGATTCCGCAACTGGCGTTCCGCAACCCCGCAAAATTGTGGATTCCCTCACTAGGACTCCGCAACTTTTGTGAATGATGAGGGGGTTGGCGTGATGTCGAGATCACACGATGGGGACAAGGGGGTTGGGGGGTTGGCGGGGTTGAGTGGGGGGCTAATGACGTTGGTTTGGATGTGCTTCGAAGATGAAGTCACAGGCACACGCTATCGCATGATGTGGAGATCACCAGTTGCAGAATACCAGTTTCAGAATGCCAACTGCAGAATTTGACTTTCCAGTGTCAGAATCCCAGTTTCAGAATACCAGTTGCAGAATCTGACTTTCCAGTCTCAGAATACAAGGTTCAGAATCCCAGTTTCAGAATCCCAGTTTCAGAACCCCAGTTCCAGAATCCTAGTTTCAGAACCCCAGTTTCAGAATACCAGTTTCAGAATCCAAGCGTCAGAACCTTACTTTCAAAGCCCCAGTTAGTTTCAGAATCCGACCGATTAGTTTCCGAATCCGGCTGATGCATTTACTTATATATCCGATTTTTTTCGCGTCTGTCTCCTTTGTTTACGATTCGCTTATTCCACGCTTTTGTTGTACTTTGTTTTGAATACACGTTGTTAACGATTTTCTTTTATGTTTCCTTTGCTGGCTTCTCGGTTTTATGCACATGTTGGTAGGACCTTAGTTCAGGAGATCGGTAAGAGGCAGAAGAAAGCGAACGCAGAAGCGGGTCACAGTGTCCAGGAGATTGCCCTGTGCTCCCTTTTGATGGGTCGACAAGGATGTGGACACATTTCCCGCAGATAACAGTCTTTGCCCGTCGTGCATCACAGACGTAAATTTATCGATATATGCAGAAAGGTGTGATTGAACAGTGTTGTGCACGCAGAAGCTCCTTTGAAATCTGTAGCCCGGATGTTGCTCGAAGCAGTGAACCCTTCAGGTTCGTGCAACTGACAAGAACCCTCATAACCGGAGCAATCTTGCTGGCGGACAATTTTCGCACCTTCGATCAGTGTGGCTGTTCTGAAAAGATGCGCGCGTTGACAATCCGCTTTAGTTTGTAGTCGGGATTGTGCATGTGGTTTTGGTCGAGACACAGCATTCTTTCTTTTGCCGAACCTGATGTTTTTCTTGTCAGTTTCTGTTTTGGCCGACCTGGTTGAGTATACAACACGACCTCCCCTCTTCATATCTTTGCGACACCTTAATACCTACAATAATAGACTTTGCACATTTACATTTGAGATATATACAGAATGAACAGTGCACCTGAGCCAGGTGGCTCGGGTCTAAATCGAGAACGTGGTGGACACATGGCTTCCAATGGGCTAAATGGTGGCCAGCCAAAAACGGAAAAATCATACCAGACACCCTTCACGGTCGTGACAAACAGATTTCATTCGAGGCAATGCGCAGATGGTTCGACTCTGCGCCCAATGCTGCACTTTCTTTGAGGTGCGCTGGTGACAGTGTCAGTTTCTTTGGCTGTATGCCCAAAGACTCGAGTGGAGTTTCGAGAAATAGAATCAAACCTGGAGAATCTGCAAATGCAGTTCGAACATTTTGTAGTATTTAATGTAGTCACTGACAACATCAGGCAGGAGTTGGGGAAACGTATTCCATGCAGAGGAAATCAAGTGGCGATGCTGGCCTGTTTCAGATCTGGATTTTGCAGCTTCATGCCAGGAGCCCGTAGTAGCGTTCTTGCTCCTAGTAGCGATGCCAGGAGCCCCTAGTAGCGTTCTTGCTCCTAGTAAAGGCAGTTTTTACTTTTCTGTAAACTTGAGCTGCAGCTCTCTCTCTTGCCAGTTTCGACGATGCTTTAGTAGCCTCTCCTGGATGCACGCAGAGCCTTGTCAGCAAGTTGGCTGTCGATGTAATGCTGTTGGCCTTTTGGCTTTCAACCGTGACTGTAAGCTGTTCAACTGTGAGCCATAAGGCAATTTCCTGGGCCTCGCCTTGTGTCACTTGAGACGTGAAAGCTGTACATAGCATGTGATGGCTTGTAGCATGTTCAGTGCTGATGCGTTGCTCTGCTTTGTTTGACTCTTGAACGCATCAGTCTTCACGTGATCACTAAAACTCATTACGCTCGCATCAGCGCCATGCAAGACATGAATGATTGATCGTTGAGGTCACCAAATCACAGCACGTCGCTCGGTTATGCTTGGTTCATGGCCGCGAAGAAAGAACATTTTGCGGTGCATGAGCAGAGACAGACGTCCCCGCATTTTTTTTTTTCTCTCTCTCTCTCTCTCGCGTTACTTCTGTTTGGGTTTGGAAACTTTTCATATACACATCAACTCTTTTGGCAAAGTTTGGTAGGGTTTGGTGTACAGTACTGATTCTCCCATTTGGATCAAGCTGTACAAGCTGTGGATTGGTCAGCTTGGAGTCAACTTATCAGCCGCGATCTTGGAGATACCATGCACACCAGAAGGTATCCCAACATATCTCAACAATCCAATCACTTTCAATCCACCTCCATCTATTATCTCCAAGGCTGAGATGGCTGAAACAGAGGAGGCCCCACCAGTCATCAGCTCAGCTTGGGCCAACTTTGGCGAGACTTGTCAGGAGTCAAGAAAAGCTGAAGTCTTTTCCACTTGCAGGTCGAGGAAACTCCACAGGAGTCTCCACCACAGGAGTCTCCACCGCCTGTCAATGGCACAGCTGCACCGGAGGACCTGTCAAACATCACTAGTTTTTTCTTTTTTTTTCTTTCCGATGAAAGCCGGTCATTCCGGCACTGGCGTGAACCAGTCAATTGAATGATGTCAATATATTCTCACCGGCAGAGACTTTCTTCTTTTCCTAAGAGGAGGCTGAAAAGAAGAAAAAGAAGAAGAAGAAGGAGGGCCTCGAAGACTTTGCACATGTGGTTCCAACACGCGATTTCATGCTCCCTCAAGAACCGGCTTTGCCACTTTGCCCTCAGGTCAAAGAAGTGAAGAGCGTTTTCGAAAGCGTACCTGCAGCTTCATCAGCAGAATTCTCTGCAACCAAAGCGGTCAGCCCCCCCCTGCACTCCGGAGAGCTTTGCTTTCTTGGCGTAGGGGAGTGGGGTTGGAAGTGAACAGAAGCGATTGCTTTTTCAATGAAAGGCCTTTGCTCAAAAAGATGGTAGCCAGATGTGAGGTCAAAGCAAACAATGAAGGCTTTTTAAGTATTGTTAAAGCATTATCCCGGTACATCCAGCTAAGAGAGTGTTAAGAAACGTGGGTGGCCGAAGTGTTTGAGTGAAGCTGGATTCTTACGCGCCATGGATTCGGACTCTGATGACGAGTATTGGGGGACATACCAGCGCTTGCCACAGGAAGTTTCGTTTTCTCGTTTCACTGCAGATATGTTTTCAGAGTACAAATGTGTTGAAGTGGTGCCTTGGAAGGAGACAACGCGCCTCCCTTTCTCATCGTTTAGCAGTCAAGGTGTGAGTCAGAGTCCGCGTCTCAAGTCTTGCTATACTAGCACAACAGCCCACGGGAGCAAACTTTCTTCAGCCCTGAGCCAGGTCTTGATTTTTCATGGAATGATCCATGCGGGTCAGCGAAGCTCAGTGCTGGAAGCATTGGCAGCACTCCATCGATCTTCTCGCAGGCTAGGGCCACGGTCAAAGATGTCGTTTGCTCGTGTGGGAGGGTATTCTTATATTCAGTATTCAAGAAATTCTGTCCCTCCAGGAGACAGTTGAATTGGAGCCTGGTGCCTTGATTTCGGCCTGGCTCTCAGCTACGTTATGGGCATTGCATGGACTAGATGTCTTTCTACTGAAGGTAGGCAGCCGCTGTTTTGAGCTTCATGACCTGCTTGGAGTGGGAAGCTTTGGATCAGCTAGTCTGACATGTTTTAAAAGAACCTGAACGGTGCATGCGCAAGTTCTGTAGTGCGTCTTGATTCGAGTCTTGATACTTGCAGACATTGAAAAAGGTTTATATCTGCAAGGGCCAAAACATGCAATGAAGAGTTCTTTACATAAGTCGCCGTGGAATGTCTAAGAACGTGCTTTTCTTTGTAACACGATGGGAACCCTGAAAAACGATACCAGACAAGTTCATTTGTTGTGGCATGATTGATTTTATTCACAGGTATGTATTGTCCGCTAGCAGGTTCCACATGCAAAAACGCTACCCCAAACGATGCTTTTCGATACCCGAAAGGATACCAGAAATCATCAAATATAGGGAACACCCCATATCCAGGGTCACCTTTTCCCCAGATAGCTGGAGTTATTGGGGTTCTTACTTCAAGTATAGGAAGAGGTGCTTGTGCGCTTTGGAGCCAAAGCGCTGGTGCTGCTGCAGGGTGCTGCTGCCAGATGTGTGGCTATGTGCGCTTTGGAGCTTGGGCGCTGGTGCTGCTGCAAGGTGCCACTGCCAGATGTGTGGCCGTGTGCGCGTTGGAGCTTGGGCGCTGGTGTCGCTGCTCTGGTGCTGCCTACTATGCTGGCGTCATTCCTTAGGCAAAGACAACAGCAAGCTTGCAGCTCTCAGGGGAAGAAGGTCAATAATCCAGGGATCTCCCATACAGAGGACTCGAGACATATATCATGAATAAACCAAGACAAGCTTCGCGCTGTGTGAGACGATGGGAATCCTGAAAAACGATACCATGACCTTACCGCACATAGTGAGTTTTGATCGTCGCACATATAGTGGTTTTTCACTTTATTCTTCTCTTGTCAGAAGCACTCATTCTTTGTTTTGCTTGTTGCTTTGTTATTGCTTGTTTTTTGCTTTTGCTTCTCTCCGTGTGTTTTTTGCTTGCTTTGCTGTTCTGCTTTGTTTGCTTGCTGAGCCGCTAAGACCACCGCTCACAAGGAAGGAAGCGAGCAAGCTAGCATCCCAAAACCAAGCATGCACACCAGCAAGAAGGCTCATTGCAACCAAAAAAGCAATCAAAGAAACAAATGAGCGAGGTAGGAAGGAAGAAAACAAGCACCCAAGAAAGAAGCAACCAGGGGCAAGGGCGGTATAGAATTAGCATGCAACCCAAAAGCAAAACACAGAGCAAGGAGCGCTCAAATACCACCGAAACGGCAAGGTTGACAACCCAACGCGCTCTACATGATGCATAACAGCAGAGGGTGTCCAGAGTGCGGTAAATACCGGCAAAAGGTACGCTCTGGACACCGAACATGCTATCAACACCATTGGGAGTAGACGGGTAGGACGTCTAAAGATGCGAACACAGGGAGCCCCAAATGCAGCAAATAGATGCAAATAGCAGTGTTCATGTACCGGTGCATAGGTTGAAGAGGGATATTGGTCTTGGATGTTACTCCCGGGTAAGCAAAACTAAAACAACTACACTGCTCAAGATCGTCTTGCCTTGATCCAGGCAATGTTTCAACCAAGACTTAGGGTAGGTCACGGCCTAAACAAAACCGCGCGGTGTTTTTATTGTTGCCAAATATATGATGTACAAAGAACTTATGGTTTACACCAGCACAGAGTGGACATGGGGCACCCAAATCCAGCAGTGGACGGGGATGATATGATGTCCAAAGTGCCGGTGCCAGTGACAGGTGAACACAGGGTGATGTTGACAATATGAAGTCCACAGTGCTGCCAACCAGCGCAAATATAGCTATGGAACCAGCATCCCGAAGAACCAGAGAAAGAGAAAGACAAATTAGATTCGCCACCATTTTAAAACAAATAGGCATGTAGGCGTACAGGCAAGTAGTGCAATTTTTCGGTATCAACATGTGTCACCGCACGTGCTGGTTTTGTGAGCAAGAAAGAACTGAATATCACGGCAGGTTTGGTGTGCAACTTGCCACACTTCTGGGGCAACAGTGGCCCTGAAGGACAGGCGTCACAACAAGAGAGTCGTTGGCCTCAGCGGCCTTGGTTTTGGTCTACAAGTTTCTCCCAGGAGATTTTGAGTTTAAACAAAGAGTCCATGGAGGCGAGACGCTGCGGGAGGCTCCAAAGGAGTCCAAGAAGTTGGTCGTTGTTTTCTCGAGTGTATTGAAAGTCGAGGCAGCAAAGCTGGAGGCTCAGCGCCTTCATGCTCTTCACGATGTAATTCAGGAGCAGATCTAGATAAGTCACGACGACGTGACTACGCTGCTATGCTGTCATCTGAGCCAACTCCTCTTCATGCCAGGATAGAAGTGGCTGTGCAGCCCTGCCTAACCTCCTAGCCGCACGGAGCTTGAGACTGGCGTTGTTAGTTGTTAGTGAGGGATTCTGAGACTTTAGCAGCAGCAGAGCTTTCCATGACGAGAATTCCGTGCTTGATGAGTGACTACGACACTCGCGGCTGGCTTTATCATTGGACGACTCTTCAGGCTGCTACTGCAACTTACGGCAACGGCTACCGAACTGTTATGGTAATGGAGCAAATCCCAGGAGTCACACATGAAACAGGTTGCACAACTGCTGGGAGCAGATCTTGTGCACAGTCGCTAAGTCTTTTGACTTGAGGAGAGCCCTTGCGGCAGGCACTCGAGGCCAAGCTGTTGGGCGGTGTTGGGAGTGCTCTTCTTTTCATGAACGGAGAGACTATCGCTTTGATGGAAGTTCGATGCAAAGCGCCAAAGCGTATATCTGTATGACTGTATACTGTAATTGTTCACACAATTCATTGCAGGGTGGGCAACTTTTGGTACCCAGGGGCGATCCAATGGCTCAGGCAACTTGTCCTGCAATGCGATCGCACAACTATAGTAATTACTGGAGCAGCTATTTGGGGATGGGTCAAAACCTGGAGCCCTGGCCCTGGTCCACCATGTAGCTTGACCTTCCAGGTAGGTCAACCGATACTGTATTACTTTCACCCAACGATTTGAATTAGAACAAGCGAATTACCGGCACCTTCCCTTCCGCGCTTTCACACTCGATTTGATAGCCAGCATTTAATCCTTTGCCTCGTAGGGTCATATACAGTACCACCTTTTCGTTCATCATGGTCCCACCTGATGCCATCAAATTTAGGTTTATTAATCTCCGATGAATGACTCGTCGACTACACGTCCAGGGTGATGTAGGAAGTCCTATTTACGTGACGACCGGAGTCCCCGAAGGGGATAGCATGTCCGTTTGTGCCATGCTAGTCATTTCGTCCGCCTTCTACTGGTACATCCAGACACCGAGCGTGTTTCCTATGTGGACAATTGGTCCTACCTCACTACCAATCAACAACACAATATCCAGGCATTGTCTCGCGTCCAACATTTTGCATCATTTTGCACACCTTCGAATACAGATAGACTACGCCAAGTCGTGGGCATGGGGATCTACCCAAGATGCTTGAAAAGAGTGGAAAACACTCCTCAATGAGTTGTTCCGGATCATAACCTTGTCCATATCTATAATTCTACCAAAGATTTACAGTAGGCTGCATGTGCCATTATACACGCCAAATTGTGCTAGGATAATCTCAAGGAAAAAATGGCCAGGACAGCTCAGCGATGTCGCCGCCTTCGATATATCAATACAGACATTCACCAAAAAGCAAAATTGTTTCAAACGGCTATTTGGCCATATGATTTTTTTCGGGGCCGAAACGCAGGTGATAGGAGAAAGACATTTTCAGCATTTACGCGGCTTCAGTGGGACAGAGTCAAATATCTAGCTGGATTGCATTTCTTGTCTCCTGTGCTCCAGGAGTTGCTTTAACTTTACTTCGTCGAGTGTTTCATAATTTAATACTAGTTACTAATCCATACTAATGCCACTGTGGCTGGCCGCTTTCTATTGGCAGTTATTGATCACCACTATTGAGACACCCGTAGGTCCGGCAGGTGCCTTAGCCAGGTATTTTAACATCCTCGGATGGACCCTTGACAAGGAGGGTGTCTTAAGCCTTGATGCATATCTTCATGTCTCCATTCGCTCAGACTCTATTCAAGCTATTCGAGCTGTGGTCCGTCAGTCGTAGTCTTATGTAGTCCACCGTAATATTTCGCATAGAAAAGGCATCGGCCAATCTCCATTCGACATCAATATTCTTTGCGTCAAGACATTATCAGTCACAGAACTTAAGTGTATTGCACATGATATAACAGGGGGCTATCAAGTTGCTGACGTTAAGGCTAAGTGGTCTAATACAGTGGATGTCACTTATCTCGCAAAATACCCCGATAAACTTTGGTTGCCACTGCCTCCATGTTCCCCGGAAATTGCCACAATTCGCCAGCTTCTCCGTTTCCGAGGAGATGACACTACCCCTTCTCAGATTTGCTTACATCAAGTGTTGTAATGTACTTTTATACTGATGGGTCTGCGGATAGTCCGTTGTCATCAGAAACTCGACGAGCAGCATGGGCTGTGGTGCAACTTTGTGCAGAACAAACCCATATGCTGTACCTTTTTCTACTATTGAAACCCAACGATTTAAAGGCCTCCAAGCAAACCATATCTCGGGCTGAATTAGCTGCAGTCACTTGGATCATTTAGACCGCAGTGCAAGCACAGTGGCCGCATCAGGTAATTTTCACCACTGACTCACACTACGCCATTGACGTTATTCATCAAGAGGTCCAATCATCACAGCCTGTCTCCTTTCACCGCCTAGCACATGCGGACCTTCTTCAAATTAATTTGCAGCATTGGATTCCCAAACAATTCATCAAAAGTAAGGTCAAATCTCATCAGGATGTCACAAAATTGCCACCTGGACCTGCTTTGGACGACGCGCCAGGTAATACATTGGGCAGACGTGGCCATTGATCAATTTCATCAGGCTAAATCTATTTTCCGTTACTTGATTGATTTAAATCTCACCCAAGTTCAACAACGTGACACAACAGCCAAAGCCTCCGCTAATCTCACTCACAAGTCAAGATTGGGGCAAACACTTTGATGACAGACTTTAATGCCATCTACCTGAAAATTTCATCCAATACAGACCAGCCATTCATCCTAACGTCATTGAAGCATGCCTATGGAGAATCAGTATGCTGATCTACTGTAATTCAGCAGTTTTTCGCCTCGCTCAAATGGCCGGACCCACAGGCAACTAATCTTTCTATGACAGCACATGAAGGTATCACCTGGCATGAACTAGCAACAGCTTTCATTGTTAATACTGGCCTTCAGCTACCAACCTAGCTTCATGTCATTGACGGCCAGCGAGCACGACCACATCATTGGCTTGATCCTAAAGTATTGGCTCTCCCTAAGAAGTCCAAATCCCTCCGTGAACAATCCGATGGCTTGCGAATCATAGTCCAATATTTACACGGATTCTCTCATGATAAACTGATCCCGGAGCACAGTCAAAACGGATCCTCAAGTCTAGTGAAAGTGGGTTGGGGTCGCACTTACACGGGCGGTTTTCCTTATCGTCTTGAAGTCCCCAACACTTGGTTGATAAAACTCTTGCAATATACTAAAGACCTGAACTGCAAACCCCCGTACCATCCTGACGGAACCGTCCCTATGGGGCATGCTCAGGCGTCTTTCAAAGCCATTCCCGCAGTCAACTTAACATACTAGCAATGTTTTCTCTATCGTCGAAATGTGTGCAAGGCGTTTCTTAAGAAATAAGACTTGCAGACAGTGGCCATCCCAGAAGTTCGCAATTAGGTCGAAGCCGTGATCTCGTCCACACATGTGCCGCGCGGATATTCGGTTTCACGTGTACAGTTCTTTTCCATTTTTGCGCAGACGATGTTGCTGTGAAGGGCTATGTACTGCATGCCCCCAGAACCAGCTGAGCTGAAGGTCTCAACCGGCAAGGACTCTTCGAATGGCGGAACTAGCGGACGTCCCGAGATCCACCCCGATGACGAAAGACGTCCACATAAGAGGCCACGCGGACACACGCACTACGAGCACCACGGCCCCCAAAGTAGCGAGACCATGGAGGTGCGTAACAGCAGTGGCTCATGCCCGGCCCTCAACGGTTGCTGCCTGGACGAAGTGGGCAAAGTCTACACGGTGGCGGAAGCAACCTGCAAAGGACTGAAGAGCACTTTTGGGCACTTTGTTTCTGGACTTCGCGAATGGATGGGACTTGACTCGCAAAGGCCATTGAGCACAAGCTCGTGCCCTTATGAGAAGAAGAAACCCGCCGTCCCTCCATGCCCAGTGAAGAAGGCCAAGGGCACATGGACTTCGCAGTTTCCTTGGAAGACCAAGTCGACGATGGACATGGCTTCATCCTAGAAGCCTAGAACAGCGACCTCCTAGCGCACACCTCGTGGAGCGACCGCGAGATGCAGATCAAATTCTTTTGTGGGGGTTGTGAGACGTGCTATGGCTATGGAAACATGAGGAGCACTTGAGATTCTGGTTGTTTAACTTGGCATGTGCTCGAGCACTGCTCACTTCAAACTGAAAAAGGTTGCTTCCGTGCGGTGTCGAAACGTGTTTTTTTGTTTTTCTTTGCTTTTTTGGCCCTTCCTGAAGTGCGCAAACGCACAAGCCCAGGCCGTCTACTTTGCGAGTGAGATGCAGGGTCTCTCAGTTCGATCAAGGCTGGTCCTGGTGCTTGTTTCCAGCAAACTTTTCAGGCTAAGGCAGCTGGCCATGGTGATGCATCCTTTGAGCAAGCGTTTCTTACACCGCGATGCAAATTCCCAGAACATACTTGTACAGGCAGGGGGGGTGGCGGTCGTATTGGATGGGAATATCCAAGACGGGAAATGGTGGTATTCCTATTTTTTGAGAGTTAGAGACACGCGTGTTGTCATTTGAGGCATCTTCAGGGCAATACCACTTTGGTTTGATCGACTTTGGCTTGGCGAAGTTCTTAACTTTTCACTTTTCACAGATCCCAGTTCAATCTTCAGTGTGCCTTGTCGGGACATGGCAGCAAGGCAGTCGATGCCATGTCTTGGAGTTGTGGTGGGTGGAGAGGATATGGTGCTTCAGGGGTCTTACTTGCCTGTTTTTGCCAATGTTGTTTGGCAAATTCAAACTGATCACTCACAAATCCAATTTGAATAACTAATCCTTTATTGTACCCGGCAATACAAATTCCAAGTGGATGATCACTTTGGAAAATACATCGCCTTGGTGAGGTCTCTGAACCTTGAAAACTGTAGCAAAAAACGAGCCTGCCAAGTGTGCAGAGCTCCAGATCCACTGTTCAATTTTTGGCTGCCAGGATGGTCGCTTCTGGACAACATCATCTTGGATGTTGTTTACCAGCGGTCCAGAAGCTTTGGACAGTGCCTGTGAGGAAACCATGTCTCTCAGTATATTAGCTCACAAACCCTTACGAACGCCTGTCACAATCATGTTTTTTTGGAGGACTTACAATCCGAGTACACTTTGCGAACGGATCTTCACTCTGTAGGCGACAGCAGAAACTGAGCGGAGAGCTTTGACTGCCTGACCACAGCAGAAACATGTTCAGTTTTCATCGGAGGCCTCAGTGCGCTACAAGCTTTGGTGGTTCTCAGCGAGGCGACAATCTTTGTCAGTTTCGTTTGACCTAGAGGTTGCTTTGTTCACCATAGGACGCTGACTGGCTGAACAACCACGGAGAGGCAGGCCAAATCTGCCAGAAACGGCAAGCTTGGGTGTGTCGATGCACCATGCAGCAAGATACACCGAGAGGTGGCAATGGAATCATTGCGGAACCTTCGTGAAGCTTGGTCAGCTCCCCAAAGGTTCTCATGGTCTGAGAAGCGGGCAAGTGGATGGTCGGACTTGAGGAAGCAATATTGGTGCTATGCATCTTCTTGCTGGGAAAGAGTGTTAGATGCCTTCAATCGGGTGGAAGCCCAAGAAAAATGCAAAATGAATGCAGCAAAGATTGAATAGACTCGACTCAGAATTGCTGATCAGGACGCGCGCGGAGCGATCAAGATGCAGCTTCGACAGGAGTGGTGTGGGTGGTCTGAATTCTACTTCGGTGTCATGGTCATTTCCGCCTGAGAGAGAGAGAGAGAAGACTCAAACAGCTGGGCCAGCCTGTGGCCTTATGACTGAACAGGAGCTGGTGCACGAGACCTTTGCAGCCCATTTTACCAAATTGCACGAATGTCTTCTGCAGGCTGGCTGGGATCTTTTTTCAAAACAAACTACCAACGCAGTTTCTTGAATAACGTGAGCAGGTCCGTTCTTCGCTTTATGCGTCAAAGGAATGCAGAGGCCACCGAGATTTCTATCAAGACAGGGGATATGACATGAGTCTGAGTGTCCCTATTTTCAAGTTCAAATTACTTTGTACCACTTGCCAGCCTTGCACCAGGAGGATTGGTTAACAAGTCTGCACGTACCCCTAGTGGAATTGATGCTCATTGTCAGAAGGCAGTTGACTGCCTGCAAAGCAGGTGGAAAGTTGGGAGATCGTTGCTTGGCGCTGCGAGTGGTTGAGGCAAAAGCAGAAGATATTGCTTTCGCGGTGGTTTCCATGTTTGTCCTGTCAGTCTTCCTCTGCAGGCACTATTGCATATGATCAGCACTGGTAGGCCTTCGGCCTTCTGCACTACTGCCAGCATGAACAGCACAATTTCAGACAAGCTCAGACCGTTTACAGAATATACAACATTTGCCCTTCAAATAATTAGGCGGTGGACAGATGGATGCGGTGCTTGGGAACAGGCCCGATGGGTGTGACATGAGTCTTTGTCAGACACAGGACTGCACAGTTGCCGTTAAATGTTCCCCTCATGACAATGGGCAAAGAGCATCGCTACTAGGAGCAAGGCTGCTACTAGGGGCTCCTGGCCTTACTACTAGTAACAAGAAGCTACCAGGAGCAAAGGACGTCGCTGCCAGGAACAGGGACGCTTGTTCCACGGCCAATAATGCCCATGAACCAGAACCATCCTGCACCAGACCTTTCATGCGATCAACGCACTACAGGCCGACTCAGCTGTCAACCACCAAGCCCTTGCGCAAAAGCCTTATGCAAACACAATTGATACATCGAGTTCTCCGCAAGTGGGTTGAAGAAGCACCTAGGAAGCCAGCCCTAGTACTGCCGATAGGACCCAAAGGAATTTGCAAAGATGTGCTTCAGACATACCGGCTGTCTGTGAGCATGGTCCAACTAACTACTTGCGCATCCTTCCCCCCAGCCAGCATTCTCTTATGGCGCAACAATGCGGGAAATTGCTCTGCAGGAGGGTGTGCGAGGGAGCAGCAGCTAGTGTCAAACATTGTGCTAGCTTGGTCTCCAAAGCTGATTCAGGCCAGCCTACACATTTGTCTGCCCCGTTAAAGGGAAGCTCCTTTGTTTAAAGCTGGGTGATGAGGAAACATGATGATGCAAAATGAATAGTGCGAGCGCTTCTTCACAGAAGCTTCCCCGCCCTCAGGCGGGGGGGAACTTCCTTGGGAGCTTCCTTTGAAGAAGTGTGAGCTATCCTGCGACCAGTTACTAGTATATTACTAGTAGCATAATCCTTACTTACTAGGTTCAATCCCCTCTTGAGTCAAGCGCCTGAGTTTATGAGCACGCTCGGACAAGCCCCACATCACGTGCACTCAATTCGCGGGCTATTACCTATACATTTTACTTCGAAGGTTGCAGAGTTGTGCTGCAAAGGGAGGAGAGTCTGAATGTGCAAGCCAACTGTGATTAAATGCTATATAATCCTCTTTCAGTTAAGGTCAAGGTGACGGTTGGATGATGGGGTATGATGGTTGATGATGTATACACTCCGGTATAATTTGCATAAAGTACAGTCGTATACATAATCTGAGTCGCAAGGCAGTTGTTTTGTTGTTCCCTCGGAGTGGTGGGTACAACGTCCAGCCTGGGGGGCTTTTAGGACTGCTGCAAAACATGTTGGAAATGACAATCACAGAATGAAGAAGATAAAGTGCTGTTTGCATACCAAAGCAACTAGCAGAAATTGCTCATCAACACATCAGGTTTTGGAGCTCATGTGCGAGACTTCTCAAACGTGGACAGGCCATGTTTTATTTTTTCCCCAAAGTGGGCTTGCTTGTGCTTCATTCATTCTTCTTGCTGAGGTTCGGAGCACAGCCAGAAAGAACGTATGGCTTTTGTGGATGAGGCATCGCGACAAAACCGCCATCAAAAGAATCCCCGTGTGCATTTCCCAAACGAAATTGGGGGGGTTGAGTCCACTAACAAAAAAGAATTGGTAAGAAAACTACCTTTTTGCTAAAAAATTGGGGGGTCATTTAGTAGTACAAAACAAGGTTGTGGAGCTGATAAGACATCAAACCCCTACCATATGGTAAGGAAATTTCATCTGTGCTAAGAATCTATATAAGCTAACCATGAGCGCGTGCATTTAGTAGGGAATATTATGTTTTTAACAATCCAGATCACTGCATTTTGTAGTGAAAATGGACGTTTTCTTGGGAAGTGATTTAGAATAAAGGTCAACATTTGTAGAGAGTTTAGATAGAAAAGGAAGAGGCCTTCATCTGAGGAAACGGGGGTTCCATGTTCAAACCACTATTTTTTTAAGCACAGGCATTTTGTAGACTCTTCTCAACACCCTCTCATTTTGTAAGGTAGAGAGTTTAGATAGAAAAGGAAGAGGCCTTCTCCTTGGCACTTCCTGATCCGCATAGCTTGGCTATGCAGACTGGCCATGCTCCTTCTCAGAGGTGGGTTGCTAGAAGGAAGCATGTGGTGTCCGCAATAGGCAGACCTCCGCGAAATGAGCGGACAACAGTCAGGGCCTTGCATTTCTTGGGGCAGCGAGCAGGATTGAAAGGGGGATCGTGGGATGATCCTTTTTTATACGTTTTTTCAGGATGCAACGGGGGATCCCATTTTGTAGTTGTTTTTATGTCTTTTTTCTTGTCTGGGGATGTGGATGTTGTAAGGGTAATTTTTGGTATGTTTTTTTTAATATGTTTTCTTTTCAGGTACGGTCATTCTTTAGCCCCAGGGTTGGGTACAGTCATCATT